AAGAAATGAATTAAGTAGTAAGACGCTAGAAGAAACTGAGATCGATATAATACATTATCTATAGTAATTAAAGTAATAATTAAATCGGCGAATGTAGAAAGGGCGAGTCCAGAACTTATAAAATTCAAGATTTGAAAAAAATAGTATGTTACATCCTATCAAAATATAAAAACTTTTTTGATGAGATTGTTGAGTGGCCAACAAACTAAACTTGAAAAAGCGATAAGAAAAAATTTTTTAATAGTCAGTATGTTTTAATTTTCCATCAATGAGTTTTATGTAAGATTATATCAAAAAATTTCACAAATGTTGTTCAATTGGGATTAAATTATCTTTTCTTCATTTTATTTTAATTTATTCTTGGAGCCTTTTTTATTCTTGTAAAATTCCATAATGTTGCCAGCAGAGAGTTAATTCCAGTGTTTTCGAAATTGTTTTGTTTCAGTTATTTGATATTGTTTTAACATATAAAAAAAATAATTATAGTTTAACATAATTTAAAATAAATAAAGTATCTAAGTAAATCATAGAATCTTTGATTTTTTTCACCGATTTAATTTAAAAAGTACTTAATAAGAATATTACAAAATATTTCTAGATTTCAAAGTAATAAATCATACTAACATTGTGAAAAAAAATATGAATGAAAAATATTATAAATGTTTTAAGATTTTTAAGAAAATCTATCAAAATTAGAGTCCATTTTAAAGTTGTTAGCTTCAAGCACCTTCAACAACTCTATCCATTGCTTGATTTTCTAAGAATCTCTCAACTCTTTCCCTAAATTCCCTATTAGATTCCGGTAATGGTAATCGCGGGCCGATATCATTATCAGCGAGTCCTTGCAAATTCTGAAGAGCTTCCGACAGCCGACGATCGTGATCCAAGATGTCCGGTTTGGGTGCTGGCGGTTTTCTCTTTTGCAGTGGTAACCGCGTCGTCTTTGATTTGACAATGACATTACCGTTCTCCGGCAGTTGATTCATCATTCCGCAAAACGCAATCTTTGCGCTTAGTAACGACCAGAAGATCTCCAAAAGAGAAGCCATCAAGACGTTTAAAGTCAGCAGCATTCTGGTATGCATGGAGTTCTCAAAATGGCTGTGCCGGAAGGTCTCAGTTTTTTCCTTCGTCAAATTCATTGATCCTTCTGTAATGTTCATTGTGTTTTTATTCTGGAAAATTTCTCTAGATATCATCATCCTTTCTTCAAATATGAACGACGCTTCCGTCATTGTGGGATCATTGTGATTTTTAGCATTAATATAAAAATCCGATGTGTTAAACTCGATGTTGGGAGATTTGAATGCAACAGGTAATTTACTAGAATTAATCTTCAAAAAATCATAATCTTCAGTGAAGTTGAATAAATGATTTTCGGTCGACATAATATCCGCGTAAGTATCATTTGTAAGATCCTTGGAAGGATGAGGAGAATAATGCGGAGCATCAAGGATTTTCTCCAATGGCCATACAAATCCATTGGTGCTGGTGGAAGTTGCCGCAACGTCGAAGATCGTGACGATGAAGCAGAGGATCGCTGCTACCAGGGAGAAGAGGTTACCGTAGAAGAAAACAGCGATGTTCCGGTCGATGTACCAACGTCGCCAAGCGAGAAGACCTGTCACGAACGGCACTAGGCATGCAACAAACAAAATCGGGCCCTGCAAGGACAAGGCGAGAGTGCCCAGGAGGAGGGACAGCGTTCCGAGACCGAAGTGGACCAAGGACAGTCCGCCAACTGTTGACGCTGAATAACGACGCTCTGATGGATATAGAGATGACAGCGGTGGTTTTGTTTTCACTTTGATAACGTACACGTTCTCCGTCATTGTCTTCTTAAATCGCGATTACACTTAATTACACAACAATTTAATTCAAGGGATCCAATTGAGAGAAAAAATTATATTAAGTATGTGCATATTTGTTCGAGACTTAAACTCAATTCATGCAAGTTTGCACAGTCCATTGTCTCTCTCACTCATATTTTTAAAAGTTTATATTTCCGTAAAAGTATCATCCAGTGTCACAGACGTATAAATCTTATCCAAAAATGGTTTGTAAAATATTTTTTCCTTCCTTGCACTGTCAAATAAAAAAAATTAATAAAATATAAATACTTGCTGTGTTACAAAATATATATAATAAAAGAATCATAAAGATAAAATATTTCATAAATATATTTATAAATTAACATGTTGCACGAGATGTAAACATAAAAAATATATAACTTAATATACAAATTTTTTAAATATAAAACAATATATAAAAACAATTCTCTTATAGTTTATTACAATTTTTATTAATTTAAAAGCTAAAATAATACAATGTCTCTCTGAATGACATTTTAATATTTCCACATTTTTTTTTATTTATATATTAATTTATTTTTATTATCATATAAACAGTATAAAAAATAATATATATGTACTAAGCACAACAAAAATTAATAATTTGATTGGAAAGTAGATTATAAGAGTAAGTAGTTACGCAAACGATTGTGAATAATCAAGTGAGTCACGATGCGCGATCGCAATGATCTTACAGTCATTTATGATTATACTACGGATATGTAATCCATAATCAAATTTGAAACAAGATTAAATCGAGAACATTTATAACGGGTAAAGTCGACGTTTTGTATAATAAAAGAAGTTGCATCTACTTCCGTGTTGCAAAAACAACCATCCAATTATAGCAACCGCTTTTTTACTTAATTGAAGTCTTCGTCGATCTCCGCAGATTTTCCTCCACGCGTCACGACTTTGTAAGATAGAAATTTTACGCAATCTATGAATAACAATCGTTCGCTTATGACTGACTGCAGTCAGTTTCGCGCAATACGGAGCTCACATCATAATAAACATTTCTGTCATAAGTGAAATAAAAGAATAAGATTTCGTTGAATGACATATTTCAAAATTGGTATTTTTTACATTATGATTGGTATTTTTTACGTTATATATATATACCGAAACGTTGTGCAGACTAACGTGAGATTGAAAGGAAATTGTACGCGATAATTGAAGTAACATTCAAAGAATTTATTTCAGAGCTGTGCAATTAAATTAATCCAAAACCAGTTTTTATCTTGCAATTTGGCTTATATTTATTGTAATTTATTCGTGTGACCGATTCAGTTAATAGGTTGAAGAATTAGACGCGTCGTTATCGTCGATCTTTTACTTTTTTCTCGTGCTAGTATTATGTAACTGATTACGAGATGTAATGCGATTATGTTGCAAGTATGCTCCTGTTTCTTTGATATTCGTTTTTATGTCAAATTAACACGTCAACCCGTGTGAATCTTCGGTGAAATTTCTGACGAACAATGAATGTGTATTTCAAGATAAATAATTCAAATAACAAGAATAAACTATAAAAATTGTATAAAAGTGTAAAGTTTTTTTCTTTTTATTTCAATGTTACAATATTGTATAATTCAATATTACAATATTATATAACATATAAAATTTGAGAAATTAAATATCAAATTTTTGAGAATTATACTATTTTTAATTATATATTAAATTTTATAAATATTTGATCCAAATAATATTAATTTTGCTATCAAAGTTTACAAATCTAAATTATTTTTCAATATTTACTACATGTAATAATCGGTTATATAACCTTTTTAATAAAAAAAATTAATCTTATTAACATACTATATCATACAAAACATTTCTTATAAATATTATGAGATAATTAACATTTATAACGTTAATTTGTATTAATTTTATATCAATTTTATGTTCATAAACATATAAATGTGAAAATGCATATCTAACAAAATATAATTACATAAGTAATAATTAAATTTTACAAATTTTATTTTATTAGCAAACTTGTCTATGAAATATGTACTGATGGTAGTATATGGATCACATACTTTTTCCGTGTCAAGAATTAATTTTGGTTCAATCAACTTTCGGAGAACACATTTTTGGATATTGTATTTTGATAGCATTGAACTTACGGCTTGATAAACGATCATTCGCGCGCGGTACTTGAGTAGTGACTGAACTATGAAGACTAGTCTTCGTTGAAATTGCTATGAAATACTGAACGAGCCTCCCACGCAACCGACTTGCAGTGAAAGGGACAACATAGAACAGCGTCGGATAAGCGCGTACTTTTGACTAGCATTAAATCCTGTTCACATCATCGACGTCTCATACTTGCGTGGCAAAACGATCTTGGCAATGAGAGATAGATATTATCTTGCATTTTCTCTTTATCATATATCACATTGTTATACGTGCAAATATGCAAGAAAAAACAATGAAAGCATGAATAAAACAGAAGAAAAATATAAAAATAATTACTTTTTAAGTAATGAAATTTCTTTGTTGTATACTTGAATATTTTAATAAAAAAAAAGAGCAAAATGTTAATACATTATCATAGCGAAAATCTATGTATTTAAGTATGACTTAAGTATGACTTTTTAGAATAATAATTATTTGTCTCTAACGAAAACTTCCACTTGGTGTGAAAGTCCCGTTATAATCGAAGATAACTTCTCAGAGAGCAAACGTATCCCAGGATCTTAGCGCATGAGTCAACCTTTATTGTTAGCTACAGAAACACGTGAGTTCAGCATACGACCTTTTCAATGGATCATCTGTAGATTACATTCCGACGGAATTCTCATAGAAATGCGTAAAACAATGAAGAAACAGTACAAAATCTTTCAATTGTTACTGTTAAATTATAATAAATATGAAAGAATTATATTTTTTTTAATTTGATGCTTTCGAGCATAGTTTTATGACCGAATAAGCCAAGAACTGACGCAAAAAAAATTTCTATTAAAATTATTTTAAATATCGAGATCATTTATTATAACCAAATTGACCATCATGATTATTAATAATCCTAAGTTAGAACGATATTTGAATTAATATTCATCGCTTTTAATTACAGAGAAATTTTATCATAGTCAATTAAAAGTTATTAATTTTCTTTTATAGTGAAACTAGTTATAAATATATTTTTTATTATGTAAGCATCATAAATTTCTATCTAATATGGCATAACCTTAAAGTAGTAAACTAAAAGTAGATAGAATATAAGAGATAAAATCGTACCATTCTCTCTCTTCAAAATTTCTTCAATATTTTTTTACGATAATAATCATGGCTGGATAAGGACTAAAATTACCTAATGCGATTGCTTAACTGATCCTAACAGGATTATTGTTATTAATGTCGCTGTATAATTAAGACGAATCAAGAAAGTATAGTTTAATAAAGCTAGTAAACAAACTTGCACAATTCACCATAACAGTATCTCATCAGATCGCAACAATCTATTAAATTAAACGAAAGAGAGAACTTTCACGATGTTACAGCAAAATCGTTCTGCCGTCAATAAATTATTTATGCAAAAATTATGAAGCGCTTTCGAGAAAATCGAACGTTGGCATTGAAGACATCGAACTTCCTGCAACATTGATTGAACCGCAAACTCGTTCAAGCGGACGAAGTCGCGTTTTAGAAAGATTTGCAAAAAATCATATAATTCTAGTGCGTGACTCCGTACACATAGAGATAATCACGATCAATGCATGATTTGTTGCATGTGGAACAAGTTGGAGGACGTGCATTAGAGATACAGTTAGACGTTGTTGCTTGCTTTGCTTGGCATTATTATTTGAAATAAAAGATATAATATCTAGTATCATATTTTATAGATTTGAAAATATATGACAATCACAAGAAATAATTCATAAATAGTCACATATATCTAGATTTATTTAAAGATGTAAATATAGAGAATAAGCTCATCAACTATTGTTTCTCATGCGTCATTAACACGAAAAATTTATGTGAAAATAAAGAGCCTTTAGAAATTTTCAAATTTCTTCAAAAAACAAAGACCAGATAGAACATAGAATTATAATAAATCATAAGGCGTCATCATGACTTTATTAGTTATTTATAACTAAACTTAAAATAATAAATAAAATCATGATGACTATTATGATATATTACTTTTGTGTTTTACCTGGAGAAATGTTTGATAAAAGATTCTGAAATTACTTACCGTAAATCGCAAAACAATTCGATTAACAGTTCGAGCGTGAAAATATGTCGATCAGAGGATCGATCTGGTTTCTCTTGTGATATCTCCTCGTTTTCTCTGTACTTTCACATGAGTATTTATTTGTAAAAATGCCCCGAAATGCGTACTTTTGGCGTTTCCGTCGTACGAGCCAAGCGCGCCGAATTTCGAATCCTTTCATTAAAGTGACTTTTTGGCCGTTAACGTGCCGGTACGAGAAACATATACTCGATACTCGGTAAGAGCGAACAAGGCGTACAACGTGTTTGCGACCGAAATGCATTTGTGTTGGAGCAGCTGTTACTTTATCGGGGCACGCGTCTCAACGGTCGTGGCAGCTGCCCAGAAAATCAACTATGGTATCCTCAATCTGAGTTCTTTCCATGACAATCTAAATTGCAGTCGTTTTTTATTTTATACAAGCATATAATTACATACCTTTATTATAAATTAAAAAATGTTTTTATATTATGTATGTATTAAAATATGTATGAAAATTAAGATAAAGTAATTTGAAGTAAACAATAGATATTAAAATCCACAAGAACATAATAAATAATTAGGGCAACATAATAGTACAAGGTTTATTTTTAACATCGTTTCTTTCAAAGCTTTTTATTTCCTTTTTGAAAAAAAATGCATGTTATGTTTAAACATTTGTATTTATTATGGAAAGAAAAATATGTTTGTTGCTTTCAAGCATTTTTTAAATGTATTTACTATAATAAGCGAATGATTATTTAATAGAATGTTCAAGAACGTCACGGATTTTGCATAAACATTTATATTAAATCGAGAAAATCTCGAATTTAGTCCAATGATAAACGCATTCTTTGGCAGGCATTTAAAGTTTAAATTACATCATC